CACAGCTGTGAGCACTCCTCATTCACACTCACGCACAGGCCTTGGCCTCTCCACTAAACAAGCCCAGTGGTCCTGGAGAGATGGCTGTGTCAGGATGGGACAAAACAGAACACAACCAGCCTAGAAGAGGGACAGCAGAAAGTGAGGGAGTGTACGAGGAATGATGGGGACCCGGCAAAGGTCCAAGAAGCCAGCTGGAAGGGCAGGTCCCACTGCAGGTCTGGGACAACTGAGTATCAAAATAACTATAGCAATGGGTTCTAACCTGGTGCGTAACACTGAAGTGCAAGAATCTATAAAGCCTTCGGAGACCCATGAATAAATTACAGGTTTGAAGAGAACTGAAATCTTCACATAGTCTCTAAGATCCTCCCATTGCAGTGGGAAGCGAGTAGCTTCAGCATGGAGAAGACTTGCTATACCACCTTGATCCAGTGATCAAAGCTAGTATCTCCAGTACAGGAAAATGGAAATCCAGCAAACCCTGTGCCTCGTGGCGGGTGTGACAAGAACAGCTTCGCATCTGTGATTGTCTTGTCAGAGGCAAGAGCTTCATCAGGAGAAAACATCAGTCATCTCGAATCAAGAGTCATTTTACAAAATAACTGCCTTGTACTCATCAGAGTGTCAAAGTCACAGAAAATCAAGGAAAGACACAGGAATTGTCACAGACTGAAGAATATTAAATACGTGCTATAACCAAATGCACAGAGTATTTCTAAACTAGACCCTTTTGCTCTCACAGACATTGCTGAAAGGCTGGAGGGACCAGTGGGCTGTCTGCAGGGGCCCAGGAGGGTCCTGGGTTTTGGTGGCTGTGCCGCACTTGTGCAGGGAGATGCAGTGGAGCCCTGTGACTGCAACCTGCGCTCAAGTAGGTATCTTTGTAGTGTATTTAAACATTTTTTGTAAGATTAAGGTTGTTTCAAGAAAAATAATGTACAGGGAAAGTGTAGGGGAAGGACCCCACACAATCCCCACCACCCTGCATGTGTCCAGCAGCTCCCCAGACCCCAGTGATCTGGAGACACTGCTTGTTCTTTAGGTGCTCAGAATAGGCTGTGAGTTTCCTTTTTGGAACTTAAACTGCATCAGTGACTTTTATAGTGAATGCACTTTAGGGCGTTTTGAAGGGGGG